GAATTTTCCGTATTTACGTTCGACACACGTTAGTCAAAGTAGTTACGAAGAAAATTGGAAAATACTATGATACTTAACGAAATCTCACGAAAATTAGTCACGATTCGTCTCAGGTCGGTTTCGATTGTTATTATTGAGCCTCAAAAAAGAACTTTTCATACCCTTTCAAATGCATATCTAATAGACACGATTTGACAAAATAACCATGCGAAAGCTAAATATTTTTATTTTGAAAAAACGCACAACAGTCATAATATCCATTCAAAAAACCGCTCCAAATCCGTTAGATAGCAATTTCCTATAATTTAGTTCATGATTTCAGACAGAATCAGATATCTGCTTCTATAAACCACTTTCATTTGTCGATTCAACTCACACGTAAGTATCTCGTCTTGCCATTGTGCATTCTTCTGTTCTAGTATGCTTTCGTTTCGTAAATAATCTAGAAACGCATGCGAACACGTTTAGATCATTCCTATTTTTGATAATGAGATATCTTACATGTTCTTTTTTTTGTATCTGAACACTTACTTAGTTCGATCATTTTTTTCAGTCAATTTTACAAGACACACATTAAGAATTTAGTACGATAGGTTGTCATTAAGAGTATATTATTGTTGTTCACTGTCATGACTGATTTAGAACAACCAACTGTGGCAAACCAAACAATACCAACATCTTCTCTGCTATCGAAAGAATGTGAATTTCTAAACAATCCGTATTATATTATTCGCAACTATGACATCATTTTATCTGCCATTAATCGTTATGATTTATGTCTATATTCAAGTATATTTGGCAGCTAAAAAACAAGCTTTAGCAGTTCGTTCAGGTTACAAGCGGCAGCACTTGATTAAATCTACACAATCATGCATTCCTAAATTTCGTTTGAAAGAAATTTTAACTGAGAAAAGATCAAGAATGAAAAAATCAGCAAATACTTCTAATAAAAATGTACGTGAAAAATCAGACGTATTATTACAGAATCGTAGATCGTCATCTAAAATACTAACACTTCGTATTCATTATAGCGCATATCAACGTTCAACTATAGAATTCATCAACCAGAATCACTAACATGACAATAAATTTATCAATAAAATTCCAAGACAAAATGTAAGACGGAAAAATTTCTGGAAACGAAATACGAAAGATCAAAAAGTCGCTGCGTTTATCGGTATTGTTATGGGTGTATTTATTGTTTGTTGATTGCTATTCTTTCTTTATCTCACATCGAGTGGTGTTTTTGGTTTGCGTTTGAAAGATGATCAAAATCATGAATTATTATACGCTATATTTACATGGTTAGAGTATGCGAATTCGGCATTGGACATGCTTGTTTACGTTTTCACTTCTAAAGAATGCAGAACTATGTTTTTAAAAGTATTTTTTCAGTCATCGTACTAGATACAAATGTAATAAATTGTGATTTTATATATTGCGTTGTTTTGAGCGCATATTTTATTCACAAATAGTCGTCTTCTGAAGTAAAAACAATCCAATGCATACTTTCTGGTCAATTAAGACAATCATTTACATTATTAAATGAAAAATAAGTTACTGCCCAGGTCGAAAAGTACCGGCCGGTTCCCGCAGGAAAACACCGGAAATAGCCGGAACATGGAAGCAGTATTCCGGCCGGAAATTTTCGGAATTTTTTCCGCTGATTTTCCGCTCGGTTCCTGCCGGAAAACACAGGAAATTGGCCGGAATTCACCGGAAAAAATCCGGAGAATTTCCGGCCGGACTACTGCTTCCATGTTACGGCTATTTCCGGTGTTTTCCTGCAGGATACGGTGATTTTTCCCGCATTTTCCTGCCGGTTCCTGCAATATCCGGTGGCCGGAACGATCGACCTGGGTGGCTAATGTTTTTAGAAATTAAGAGAATAAAATGGATAGAAGCCCGATAAAGAAAATTGTTCTAACGCCAAAATATTTGTTGCATTTGTTATTTGCGCAGTATCAGATTCCTGCTAAATAGATCATTTAATCTATAAAACAGTATAAATGCTCTTGATTGTTGAATTATTGTCGAAAATAAACCGAGGAGATGATCTTTTATGAACAAATCTGATATTAACTACTGTTGGAGACAAGTTCCCAGGTCGAAATAGCTATGTCGGATCCTGTCGGATAGGTTTCAAATCCGTTGAGATACGGCTAATCGGATTCGGCCGGTTACTTTTTGTCGGATTCCGATGCTATCCACTGTTTTCCTTTGATATCCGCCGGTCGGATTCATCGAGTTCCGACTAGATTCATATATTCGGAACTGGTCAGATCCGATCTCAAGATCTGTTCGCTTCCGATGGGATGCCGGGGAATCTGATGTCAAGAAATCGCCGGATTTTGCGGTTTCAAGTGACACCGGATTCCATGATAAAACCGATCAATCACTGGTATCGGAACTTGTCGGATTATATAAGAATGCAGAATACACAGGCCGATCTCACACCATCGGATCCGATGGAAATTTGTCGAAATTTGTCGGATGTTGGAAAGTGTCGGATTTTCAGAGTTCCGACAAGATCCCGGCCACTTCCGACACTTTCCGACATCCGACAACTTCCTGTCGGAATCCGATACCAAGGATTCCAACGAATTGCCATCGGATTCGATAAAATCCGATAATTTTTCCGATAGGATCCGACGAGATCGGACTGTCGGATTGCTCGTTCTGGGTATCCAGTATAATTTTCCACGTAGTCGGATGCATGAATTAGAATATATTCTGATAGAACAATCAGCTAATCATCTAATAAGATATTTCTCTTTTTACAAATTTCCAACAACAAAATCAAAAATCTGGAAATCCGATTTTGTCCAGATTTCATTCACCGTTTTGTTTTACAGGTATTGATCTATATAAGGAACTCTCTACTTTAATATTTTGAATGAATTTCCAAAGTGTTGCTTAGATTAATTTTACTTCAAATGATGTATTTCCTTATACAATTATGTTTTCTACGGAATCGGATTCTTGAATAAGATTATATTC